AAAACAGGAATCGAGCATCATTAATTTTAAAATAATGAAACCACAAATACAGCAGCTTATTTCCCATTACTCTTATCACACTAAATATACACACATACTCGTATATTACCATTTCTTTTATATTTTCTCATCCCTCTTATGCAGCTATATAGAACGAATAATTTGCAAGTTTTCTATGTGCATTTAAATACCTTAATCTAAAGGGATTATAATAATGTTTTTTTGGAATATCGCATTAAAAAAAAAAAAAAACAAAAACGAATAAATAAATAAAACGAAGTTTTAAATATCATCCATCTTTCTTTCTCTTTTGTTCTTTCTCACTTTCTCATTATTATTATTTTCTTCACTAACTTTTTATATATTCATATACATATAATATATAGAATTGTATTTTAAGTTTATCATGAGCACAACACATTGTTGGCGATGATAATAATATTAACCATAATAATAATAATAATAATGGATAACAATAATGATGATGATTATGATGGCGATATTGATTAAGATGATAATATTTTTGCAATATATCAAATTAATCACCTGCCTTTATGTTTACACTTTTTGAAGTGCTAAAGTGTAATCCAATGCAAATATTTTTTCCTTATATTTTCTGTACGGCATATTATTTTTGTTCCCGTTCTTTTCGTAATTTAGTTAAATTTTTTTATAATCGGAATAACTATTCATTCATATATATACTTATATAGAAAATATTGTTATAATACATTGAATAACATCAATACAACACAGACAAACACACACATATTTGCATATCAATGTAAAATTTTTTTATAATATATTCTATTACATCACAATATTATTTAATAAGAAAATTTCACTCCTATAAATATGCTTATATTTATATATAATGTATGTGGGAAAAAAATCATGTTAACATACCCACCTATACCAAAAGAAACCAAATTTACATGAAAATTTACATTTATTATTCGGGTTAACCATATTTAACATAACATATTATATGAAACGTGTGTGAGTGTGTGTAAATAATATTCTTACAACACTATTTGTTTAATTCAGATGTTATAATATAATAAAGAATATTGCAATAATAATAATAGATGGGGACTAGACTTGATAATTTGGTTGAAATTTGAAATTTTATCGTCAACAATATCGTTTTATCGTAAACACTAGTATAATAGAAAGAAAGTTTATTATAAGTTTACATTCATTTTTGTATATGTAATGTATATATACATAAGAATTTATTTATAAATGATAAGAGTATATACAGTTAAACCCGTCCCCTGATGAAATCACAAGGTAATTTTAATCATATTTAACGGAATAGAGCGGTTTTGTTAAACTAAAACTAAAAATTTTTTCAATTTTCTAACTTTCACGGTATTTATATTTTTCGTCGTGAGTTAAAACACCAAAAGAATTTTGAATTTTAAAAATATTTAAATCAAATCTGGCAAACTAAAATTAAATCCGGCATTTCCAGATTCAAAATACTTCAGTTACTTTAGCACTAAATTCAGTGCTATACACTTAGTGCTTTTTATTGTAATGATAGATTTTTTAGCTTCTTACAAAATGATTCGTCTTTCATTGGTTTTGCTGTACAAGAAATGCTTAAAAAATTCAGACTATAAATTTAGAATTTACGTATGATTCTTTACATATTCATACATATATATACATGTATGTATAAGTTTAATAAAATATATTGTGTATATTTTATACATATTATACACTATACCATTTAATTTTATAGAAATTTAAAGTTCTAACCACATTTCAATTGAAAATAAATTACAAAGAAAAATAAAAGCGATGATATATGTGAAATTATTTCAGATAGAAACTACCAGCTGAGTCTGAAAATATTTTGCCTTCAAAAATTTAATTACATGGAAGGAAAACATTTAACACGAGAATATAAACTTATCTTGGAAAATATTCTTAAAGATTATAAACAAGAGAGCTTCTTGCTTAAACTCGAATTCAATATTTAGTTTATTTATTAGAAATTTCAAAAACAAAATCATCTGTATCATACCAAAATTTTAATAGTGTTAACTGTTTACTGTTTTCAGTGTAATTTTTTTCATTAACGCGGCATATTTCGATCAATGATGACTACAATAGAGAATTTTTGATATCAACAAATGAGCTCAATTAAATTGTAATATTAAATTGGTTGTATTAATTTTTTCACGAAAATTTTCTGTTTTATAAAAAATGCATACATTCTTACCAGTGTTATTAAAAATATTCTTTCTTATATCATATAAGATTTCTTTCCGTTATCATATTGCCTCTGTTATATATCAACAAAATCTTGCGCTACTCCATTCAAAAACTTTTTCTTTTTTTGAAAATATTTAAAACATTTCAATATTATGTAACAATTTATTGAGAGCTTTCTTTTATATTTTTATAAAGAATCTCTAATGATTCTTCTACAAAAAGCCTGTATACCACAAATAAAAAACTCTACTAAAAAGTTAATTAAAAAAATTTTTAGATTCCTTTAAAAGGTGATGTAGTAAAATTAGCAATAATTTTCAAAAGATGAACTAGTATTTTCTTAAAATTCTAAAAAGACCTAAAATACCTATATACTTATATATCAGTTACCTATAATGTTAATGCACATTAACATAATGTAACTGTAACATATTCATACAAAATTTTCTGATTTTATTATTATTATTTCGGTTCTTATTATTATAATCCTTGTGGAAGAGTTCTCTAACCTATCGCAAAGAAAATTAAAAAAAAAAAAAACTGAAGGAAAACGTACTTTTAAAAAAATATTTGTGCAAGTAAAAATAAAAATTATAATGGAAAATTTCGTTTAATTTTATTTCTCAAAAAAGATTGACGACAATAAAATTTAAATTTTTCTTAATTTACACAAGACTTTTTAACGAAATGTTCGAAAAATCTTTTAAAAATACTTTAAATTGATTTTATTTATTTTTCTTCATTTAAAAATATTGTGAATTGAGTAAATTGTTTATTTAAGGATTTGTGAGATCACACGAGATTTTTGTAAAATTAAGCATTGAATTTTTGAATCAATTTAAAAATTTAAAAAATTGTGGATGCACCATGAAAATTCACTTGGATTATAGAATAATCAATATCCTTGTTAAATTTTAAGTAGTCTTAAATTCTAAATCTTATTCCATCAAGGGATTTGCTCGTTGCGTTAAAATTTTCCATTAAATTCAGTTCCAGAATGATTGTTATTTTATATTCCATAAATTGCATTCCAGACCGAATAAACAATGCTACGGCATTAATAATTCAAATGTAATTAAAGTAATATTTAAAATTAAATTAAAATTTCTTGTTCTTTCAAAATTCTTGAATTCTCAAAATAACCAATACCCATTTTTACTGCTACTTATTTTAATGAAATAACGCAATGAGTCATGATTTAATTGTGTTGCAGAAAGCAGTGGCTAAGCCCTTCTATTTAGCGTGTATTTAATTGTCTGTTTGCAAACCTATATGGGTAATATAACAGCTTTACATCACTGAGAATTTTTACTGACCGCATTGCATACAATAAGTGAATTTTTGTGATGGTAACAAATTTTGCATACAGAGTTTTCGGTAGAAACGCATTGCTTAATAGTAGGGAAGCATATATAAACTAGTTTTTTACATTTAATGGATTTAAATTTCATCATTATTAAATTTTTACTGTACTACAATCAAATCTATTTATTTATATTGATTAATGAATATTTAATTCAAAAAAAAAAAAAAAAACAATTCACTTTAAATATAGTTAAAATATTCACTTATAACTTTTAATATTGAAATTGAATCTTAAATAAATTTTTGCAATTTATTTTATTATTACATATACAAGTATATCCAAATATTTGAAGTCAATATATAAGTATACTTTATTTATAAAGTGTTCTATTTTAAGAAGTTATAAATTTCATTGTAAAAATTAATGAATCGGAAAATTTATTTATAGCTCGATAATATTATATATTTTATTCTATGTATAATAAATATTGTAGAAAAATGGAAAATTGCAATTCAGTTCATTGCCCTATGATAGAAAAAAGAAGCATCTTATATAAGATTATTGACATTAAAATGTGTCCAAAAACTTCTTGCACGCAGGTATATAGCTCTTTTATAGATTTATGAGTTGAATTTTAAAGATGTGTTTTGTATAAATTGAAAAAGAAATTTTTAAATTAAATAAAATTTTAATGAAACAATAATTTTTTTTAAATTCTTTAATACATTTGTGAATTTTTCATTTTGCTTTCTCTTTTTATAATCAAAATCCTTAATGAGCTCAAAAGAAATTATTTATTTTCAAACTGTTAGAAATTACAAACTCATACTAATTATAATTTTAATTTTAATTAGATTTTCTAATAAAATAGAGTAGAAAATATTAAAGTGTCAATCATATTATTTAGTATGCATATAAACGTTATTAAGTCCTTTCATTTGATTTATCCTGGAAGAAGAACAGATATACCTAGTTCAGTGAATTGATTTTTATATGCATGAGTATTACGTTTGGTTCATCAACATGTCTAAAAACTTATTATAAACTCAAATACGAAATAAATAATATTAAGTGCTTGCTAATTAAGAAAATTATAATATTTCAAACCCTTTTATTTATTTATACTAAATAAATAGAAAGTATTATAAAGCATAATGTCAATCAAAATTTTTAACATGATAGTCTTTTCATTTATAAATTAAATTTGAATTATGGTGGTGGGAAATTTTAAAAACTTTAATTAAAGAAAGTTATAAGAATGAAATTGAATTATTTATATAATATTACCGATTTATTTTTGGATCTGTTAGAAATTGATCAGTTTGAAATTTGTACATTAACATTGTGTAGATAAACCCTGTTAATATTAATATTGAATAACTTTTTTCTATAAATGTGACTCAAGATAATAATGTTGTTTTCGAGTAATATAACTTTTTTCTATAATATCACTAAAATTCAATTTTACCTTAAATAAACTTGTGGTTTAAAATAGTTTAAAATAAACTAGTAGAATTCCTCTTTCAATGAGTAATAACGATTATGCTCATTACATACATTATACATATTAGAATTGTTATACCTGTAAAGATACAAAATTAAATGATCTATATTAGTATACAATTATAACAAATTTGAAAAATTTTATTTAATGGTAAGTACGAGTATTAATTCTAACAAAAATAAAAATACAACTTTATATATAGCGTTGCTAAAAAAAAATTACAAAATTAGGAAAATTTCTGCTTCTGCCTCCATATTGAATTTATTTTTTAGAGATGTACATAGCTAATTTGCGACATATAAAATGAAGCTAGATTTTATGACTATATTATCAATTAACCTTGTGCGATTCTTCATGTCTACATGACAAACAAAACATTTCTAAAATTACTTCATAGTATTGAAAATTTAGTTAAATACTATAACTGCTTCTGCAGCAGAACATAATTCGCTTACAACTCTCACCGTAATGTTTTATTGTTTTTGCAATAATAAAGCATTGCCGTAATAGCTGAAATATATGATGACCATTTGATCAATTTATATACATAGCTATCCATTGAAAAGAGAATGTTCAAGCCAAGTTGCATGGTCTTGACTGAAATAAATAATTGAGAAAACAATTAAACTTTATGCTGCTTCAAAAATAATATATGGCTCTGAGTGAAGAAAACGATTTTATATTTGATAACGACTTTAGTAATGAAAGAATGAAGTGCCATAAACCATATGACAGAAAATCTTATTTTTTCGCACTATCCGGATTTCTATTAGTTTTCATTGCTAGGATCCTACAGAAGTTAGGCAGATGTAGTAATATTTTTTTTTTTTTGAATATACTACATAAAAATTTAACATTACAATTTACTCAATAAAACTTTTTAACATGAATACATTAAATGATGAATATTTGCATTTCTGCTGTTAGACCAATTAATGGGAATATTAAATAATAAATACTCCATATTTTTAATCCTTGCTCTCATTATTATTAATTTCTGAATACAAAAAATATGTAAATCTTGAGATTTTTTAAAAATTATACTCGTATACATATTTATATTAAGTGAAGGTGAATAATGATCTCGTCGAAAGTAATTACGTTATGAAAATTCATTTTATGTAAAAAAAAATTAAAGTTATTATTGTTATTTGTTGAATCCTCATACCCATATAAATAATTTTCTTTCTTAATGTGCGCATATATAAATAAAAATAAAAATTAACATTATAATAATTAATATTAAAATCGAGTAATAATTAATATTTACATAATATTTTTTTTTACATAATGATCTCCAACCCCTTTTTTTTTAAAGAACAAAAAAAAAAATAAATATGCAAAATTTTCTCATATTTATTTAAGGAAATCTGAATCAACAAATCCCTACCAAATTAAAATAATAATAATTATTATTATGTATGTAAAATATTATTGTTATGATAATAAAATAATTATGCTAATTAATGCCATATCAACATTATACATATGTATATAAATAAAAATATAAAATTATGAAAATATTTATTTCAATTTCAATTCTGTATTAATATTTATGTAAAAAATTAATATGGAAAATTAAAGAATATACAAAAGAAAAACATCGAAATATAAGAATAAAAAATTAATAATATCGTAATAAGTAAAACAAGAAAAAAATCAAACAAATAAATTTAATTTTGAATAAAATTTTTGGAATGCGATATTAAAGATTAAAATTAAGTGGAAACCAAAATAAATTTATAGTTTTAATGGTTCTATACAATATAAAGGACTGTCTGATTGCTCTTGCGTATTTATTTTGAAAAGTTTTCACACAAAAATTGTTGGTGAATGATATTGTAAGTTCTTAGAATGTAAAGTTGCTAAAGACTTAATCGTAACCTACATGATATGCTTATGTTCAGTATACAAGCAAAATTTATTTAAAAAATTAATTAATTAACCAAAACTTAAGAAAAATGGCACCCTTGTGATATTTAGTATTCAAAACAAAGAAACAAAAATGTATATTTATTCTGACTTGCAAGAGAAATTGTCATACAAATACACTTATGTAAAAAACATAATTAAATTTTACATTCTTTAAAATTTTAAGTCAAAAATTAAGAGCACAAATTAATAAAATTGTGTGAAACACATAAAAACAAAAGCTGATAGCGAAAATAAAATTTTCATTCCCATTCCTGTTACCCTATAATACTCTATATATTCTACTGATCTACTGAATAAAAATATTGACCTATAAGTATTATATGTATAATAAAAACGGACATCCAATAACAATGTGGGCTATTGCCTTTATTTATTTCAAAAGACAAAAAAAGTATTCCGTTTTTATACATGTTATATGCAAATTTTACATTTTTATTCTTCTTTTTATAAAAATTTTCATTTATATAATAAAATTTTTTAAGCATTGTAACATTTTACTTGCTTCACTTTTTTATGTAGTAAAAAAAAAGAAGATAAAAAAAAAAGAAGAGAGTGATAAAAAATTGAATTTTTTGTTTTTTTTTTTTTCGTTATGTTTACGTTTTCCTTATAGTCAAAAGGACAAAAAGGGAGAGTTTTTTTATACATAATATCCTGCATGTTGTTACCAAAAAAAAAAAAAAAAAAAGTAAGCTGAAAAGGAAAGAAAAAGGAAAATTAAAGTAGAAAAAAAAACAAAAAAAAAATTATTAGCCCTCATGTGAAAACATGATATTCACAAGTATCCTTATAATATAGTCAAAGTCAAAATGTTAAAATTAACTGTTCCGTAGTACAATAAGGTAATTTTAATAACATGAAATGCTGATTTTAATATTATGAAATATGTATAGGTTTTTTAATTTACATAATATATTTGAGACAATTTCTGCTCAATGTACACAAAAATCTTAATTAAATTTAAAATTGCATACTTTTAGGATTTTTTTTTTTTTAAATTTAAATTTTGAATTGATCCAATTGTACCATAACCAAAAACAAAAAAAATCACAAAAATTAGTCGAATTGCATAAAAAATTTTCGGGCTCCGATGCTTATAAACCTAAAATTATCAAAAGCTGATACTACTCCAAAATAGGTTCTTCTCATAAGTACTAGTTAAGTTAAGGCATTAAAAACGGTGAAATCGTAAAATATAATACCAGTTCCTTGTTTATTGAAAAAAAAAATTTGAATTTTCCAACATTTTTCACAAACCAAACATGCATACAAACATTCATTATTTTATTTTCATTTGTTTATAACCTCAATAAGGTCTAAAAGGGAACCAAATATGTATGTAACCTACACAGGAATGTATTTTGTAGGGGAAAATTCTTTTATTTTTTTTTTCTTCCCCTTTCCTTTTTCCCTATTTTTTCTTTTTCGTTTTGTTTATTTTTATTATTATATTTTTAACATGAATTTTTCCTTAGGACAAATTTTTACTCGCATGTTTTTTTCGTTTTTTTTTCACTTGTTTTTTCAATTTTGTTTTGGTTTTTTTTTTTTGAATCATTTATGTTATGTCAGATGTATTTATTATTATTTTTCTTATATCCTTTTATTATTATTATTGTTATTATTATTACTTTCTGTTATTTTGCGTACGAGTATACATTTTTTGATAAAATAATTCTTTACTACATTTATTTATTGGAAAAAACATCAAACACGCATTTTCCATATATTTACATTTACATACATGTATGTATATAATATGCAAAAAATTTGTATGTTGAAATGTAAATATTCTTAAACTTAATCACGTTATATGCGTATCTGGTACCAAAAGCGATAAACAGTTAAGTCGAATTAAGATTGAATTAAGTTATTAAACATTTATTTTATAACTGGATAAATTCTCAATTTCTCTATGTTGTTTTTTACCTTAATGCTAGATTAAATAAATAATTGTCTCCATATAATAACTTTAACCATTATAGACAATTATGGGCAAATGTACGTATTTCGGCAAAATTCATTCAATAGACTTAATATTTTTGAGTTTAACAATATAATTTAAAAGTTCTTTACGTCATTTTGTATAATCGTCAAGAAAACCCAAAATTTATATTTTGTCCCATAATTATTTACACAAATGTTAGATCGTCAACCATCTAATCTATAGAGAATAAAAATTACAGTATAACAAATACATGCAAATACCAATTTTATTCATTGATAATAACAATTTTTGAGAATCGAAATTCCTAAACTTAATTCAGTATTTCTATTTACCACATACATATATGCTTTGAGATAATACATATTTTTAACCATTATTGCAGTAGCATGTTGGTACCTACATTTATATGAATGACATGTTTATGTATAAATTTTCCTAAACTTATATATTTCATTTTTTACTTATACAACTGATGATCATCGTAGGCGTTATTTATAAAATTATATAGAGAAATAGAAAGATGACAAAAAGCAAAACCAAAACAAAATTCAAATATTTCAAAATATACACAACATACCTAGGTAGGTATAAAGGAAAGCAGGTGTCATGAGGTTGAAAATAAAGAAAAAAAAAGGTATGAGAAAAAAAACGTGTTTTCTTTTTCATATTTTAAATTTTTAGATTTTCTTTTTCTTTTTCGCTTTGTTTATCTCTTATCATTCATGTCACTCCAGATATTGAAATATTCGAGCACACAATTTAAACATTCAATTTTTTAAACGTATTGGTGGAAAATTTATCACAGTAAATTGAAATTTTCATTTGCCTACATGCATGTACAAAAATTTTCACTTTTTCATTTTTTCAGTAAATCTAACACAAAAATTGTTTGAGGGTGTATAAAATATATAGTATAATATACAAAGAGTAATATAAGGTTGTTAATCATAATACGTGAGATCTAAGCATAATATAATAAAACCAAATATGAAAAAAAAAAATTATTTATTATAATAATTTTTATTTTTTATTTGAAAAGAAAAGCAAAAAATAAAAAATTATAAATATAGGGAAAATTTAATTTTTTACCTTTAGAAAAAAATAGGAAGTTATGAGTAGGAAATTAATAAGAATATGGAAAAATTTTTACAGGAAGTTTTCTCTCACAGACATTTTTGAAAGCTTAATTTGCTAT